AAGTTTCAGAGCAAACAAGCAAAGAATGAAGATGATGTAACGGTGCTAGCTCTTTCTGCAGGGGGAGGAGAGGATCGACGGAGGGGAGGGGAGAAGTCTTTATGAGAAGCAGCTGTAGGGAAGATGCAGGCAGGCCTCCAGAGCCCTGCAACACCAGCCCGCCCAGCAGCTCACTGACAGCATCTGGAAGCTGATGATTAAACACACAAACAGCACCACCTGCATCCAGTGTGATGAAGCTGATTCCTCTTCAGCTGCAAAACATTCCTGCGTAATATGTTGTTCATAAAAAACAACACTTGATTATTTTTGAAAAACATCATCTCTGAAAGTGCAGACCAAGACTTAACTCACACCATGAGAAATTACCCCACTCTGGCAAGCTTGATGTGTGTGTGTGTGTGTGTGTGTGTGTGTGTGTGTGTGTGTGTGTGTGCGTGCGTGTGTGTGTGTGCGTGCGTGTGTGCGTGTGTGTGTGTATTGGTACATCACAACTGAATGGGTTGAAGGAAATTCAGTGCAAGGACCATCATCATGCGAGCCCGGAATTAGAAAATCCAGTTAAATTGAAGCATGTGAAGTAATTTATATTCTTGCTAAAAATCTATGCACCTTTTTTAAAGCAGTTGTTGCTTTCAAGCAAAACTGGACCATCTATATAAAGACTGGGAATCTTTGCTTTCTGAGCAACTAAAAACGGCTAACTGTGCAACTAATAACAATGGGAAAATTGACTTGGTAACAATGCTAACAAGTCAATTTCTTTTGAAAATTTTCTTTTGTACTTGCTTTCATTCTGTACATACTAACTTGAATGTAAGTCTATAATCTTTGACTGTTTCCCTTCATTAAATCGGTAATCTAATGATAGCTTAATTTCTTCTCTAAAATGGACAGTGTTACTCCTTACTTTCCAAAACGACTCACTCTGGCAGCTTGTGATGGAGCCCAGTAAGCAAAAGAAGAGGTTTTAAAATGATTTAAAATAAGTTTTTCTCCGATGTTTATGAAAATATTTTCCGTGAGGCCTAGTTTGAAGAAATAAAGTGCATTTAGTAGGACATCAAGATTTACCACAGATCTTGATGTCTAGAGTTGATGTAATCATTAAATGTTTTTCTTTGCATAGGTTTTGTGTTGACTACTGCTGACTACTAAATGTTCAATGTGTTATACACAAACAATGGTTAATTAATTATTAGTTAAATAAATTAGAAAATAAAGCCACATCCACTGCATCGTCAGTGGTTTTGTGCATTCAGCTTGAGCGAATTTTCACCATCGCATGCAGACAAAGTGCATGCATACTGTAGCATGAGATTAAGTCACATTACTATCCAATCATTGCAGTGGCATTCTTTGTGTTTGTGGTTAGGAGCACTGTATATGTACCATCACTGACTTGGATGTGTCCCAAAACATTTTGCAATTTTCTTAGCAGGAGATTAATTCACACAAGATGCAGCACCAAATGTGTAGGAAGATGAGGCTTGAGGAATATTTGGATATCTGTACAGACACCCAGGGTAGATAAACATTTTGTAAAGGCGTGATGGAGATGTTAGACGACGGATGCTGCTGACACATGCTGTTTGAAAACATATTTTCTCCTAAAACCTTTTCTGGATGATAAATATTAACGGAAATGAGCTGATAATGTCACAGAAATGTCATCAATTTAGTCAGAAGATTGGATTTATCTAAATCAAATTAGAATAAAAGCCTGACCTGATTGAGAAAAATGGATGTCATTTTTGGAATCAGCCGTTGAAAATAGTCCTAATTCAGGTGAAAAAACATAGACGACTTCCAAAAAATGTAGCTGATAGCAAAAATTCAACCTGGAAGACTCCATCATCTCCGTTCGCCCATCGGTGTTATGCTCATCTCCGACCTCAGCTCTGGACCCCATCCGGCGTGTCCAATCATCAATCAAGCTCTGCATAAAAGGATCCACACCCAAGCCGTCAGCTGCTTCCCAGCTGCGTTCAACCCATCACCACCCCTTCTCCACCCACATCCTTCGGCTCTCCAGGATGGCACCCTTTCCAGACCTCCACCACCAATGTTGGGCCCTGGGGGAGAGCATCCCTAATCGGTTATCGGGATGTTCATCGAGTTCACATCAAATCTCAGCTCAGATCAGCTGCCAGGGCCCGAGCGCCAAAGAACTGTTATTCATTGCTGTCATTAAATCTTTTAATTGTTCCCTTTTCTTCGTCTGAGTCTTTCCAGATTGAAATAGTGTTATCTTTGTATTTCCTAGTACTGGTTGAAACTATCTTAGGGCTTAGTTTGTCAGTATTGATGTTAAGGCCTTCTCTTTGGCCTTTCTTTCCTTTTTAATGGTGAGCCAAAATTTGAGTTTTTCTTCCATCTGAGGTCATGAGTTCATTCGTCTCAGTCTCACCAACAACTCTAGAGGCAACATGAGATTTCTTGAGTTTAAATTGTGTTATAAACTGAAATATTTCCTTGGATTACAATCAGAAAAAAAGTTTAATATTAGAAAGTAATTGAGATTATAAGACATTTTCAGCTATTTTCCCTTCCATCCCACTGCTGTTAATAATAATAATGATACTGCTTCCATTTCCTGTCACACCTCACAGGGCAGTTCAAAGGGGCGGGACGGGGGGACAGGTAGAGGTCCTGAGGTCCCAGTTTCCCATGATGGTTTTATTGGCCTCGGCAGATGGCTTCTCTCGGCCTCTGTATTGTTATGATGGACATGTTGCTCTGGGGGGTTGGTGTTAACAATTGTTGCTAATAGTTCAAGGAGACAAAAGCCTATTGTCCCCCCATTTGAAAAAAGTTTCCTGAGTAACGGGATGCTGAAGACCTTCTGATGCCAAATTTAAAGACCTGTATATATAATTGTTGTTTCCTGTCAGGTTGGAGATATGTTGATGATGACAGAAAGTCAGGAAACGTGTGAAAATGACCTTTCAAAGAAACTTAAATCGCCACTGAGATGCTTTTTCTGTTTGGACTGAAGGTTTCTAAATAATGACATGACATCCTTAAAGCCTGCACTATTCACTGCAACAGTATACTTTTATTATTCTTTGCATTATCCATTTTCCTCTTTAGTTTTTACAAGGCCTGTCCCTCTCATCCGTTGTTCCCATCTTCCCTTTCTCTTGGAGACATGCTAACCCTAAGGACACCCCCAACCCACTGCCATCCATCCTTCCTTCCCTTCTTCCTTCCTATATCTCTGATCTCAACACTGGGGGAAAAAAAAACAAAACAAAACAATAAAACAACACATTTTTAACATGTTAATAAAACAACTAGAGGGTATTACGCATTATTCATAGTCCTTGTTTTCAGTCTTTTCCATGCTAGATCTCTGTTCTTGGGTTCTGTGTTACATTTGTGGAAAGAAAAAATAATCAGTTGGGGAGGGAAGAAGGGAAAAAGAAGTGGTTGATGTTTCTCCTCAAACATGTGACCCCCACTTGGCTCACAGCTGAAAATAATTTTGGCCTACAAGCCCGGTGAATGCTTGACGCAAGCCTTCCTTCTCCATTTTCTTCCCTCCTCGGCGGCTTGGCTTTGGACTTATGAGGCAAAGACAAACGAATGAATAACTTGAGCTATAAGGAAAGACAAAAGGTAAAATATGACAGGCAAGATCTGAACTGTCCCTTTATTGTGGATAATAGCACAAGTCCAAAACTCTGAGCATCATTAGTGTCTGAACTCTTTCCAATCGGGACAATGATCAGAGGAATTAGGGCCACATTCCCTAAATAGTTAAAAGTGCAGAGAAGAGAAGTGTCAGGGTTGGCTGATGCAGGTTTGTAGAAAAATAATAAAAAAATAAAGACAGAGGGGGAATCTGGGCCAGGCAGTGCTCAGGAAATGTTTAACAGCCTGAAAATACCCTGCAAAGTATCTCGGCACATCTGGAAAAAGTCACACACATAAAATCCATTCGCTGGACCGGCATATGGATTCTTGGCGAGCTCTGTGTGGGACTGCAATGCAAACATGTAAGCGTGTTTTGAATTCTCTGTAAGATTACAAAGCACTAATGTGAATCTGTGTGCGTTTACCACAGAGTAAATGCTTAAATACCACATGGTTCTCTGCCGTATCCCTTGATTTTGGTAGAACGTGGATTTTTTTTCCTACTCCCTACCTACCAGTTTCTTCTTCTTTTTTTTTTTTATTTTATTTTATTTATTTTTTTAGCCCAAGTTAGCTTTATTTGGATCTTACATTTGGCTCATCTTTTAAATACTTTTTGAGCATCTTGTTTTACACTTAGTGCCATATACTTGCGTGGCAAAAAAAAAAAAAAAAAGTCAAAAATAAATCAAAAGCTGGAAAGCACATTTCAAATGAAGGAACCTTTTCAAATATGTGTTTTCATTATGTTCATTTGAGAAATCTGGCATTTTAACAGCAACATGCTGAAACACAATGGGCAATAAAGTTAATAGCACCAATCCTACCTCCCATTTATGTTTTTATATTTTCATATAATTACAGTGCATCACCCAAATACCAACACACTTGATTTTGTGACATTACAACCAGAAACTTTAATGTGTTTACTTTTATCTCATGTCAGAGGAAGGAGAAAGATACAAGAATGTGCATTTGTATTCAGCTCCCGTTATATTGATGCCCTTAAATAAAACCCAGTACAAGTTGCCTTCAGTTGTCACCTAAATTAGTAAATAGAGTCAGATTTTCATTTGCAAAATAATAAAATGCTTGTAAAAAATATTCTTTCCACTTCATAATTACTTTGCTTTGGCCTATCACATGAAAAAGCAACAGATTACAACAAAGTTTGCCCTTAAAAAAAAAAAAGGTTCAATGTCTTTGTAAGGCACAGCATGCCATTGTCTGCTGAATAATGGTTCATGGTGTGTTTCCAACAAACCAAATGTCCCCTATTTACATGTTGTTTCTTTCAAGAACCTTGCCCTTCGTGCAGCCCACGTGATACCGTCTGACATGTTCTGCCTTTGTGTGTTCAGGATGCCAGCTGTTAGCACCATGACCGGCGGAAGGGCCCTGCTGCTCTGTGCAAACACTGACAACTGTATTTACCAATCAGTCAACGGGTAGGTGCTTCAGATTCTGAAAACTTTTTCACAGTATTTATTCCACTACATTTATCAGAATAAAATATGTGTCCCAGTAAAAAAAAAAAACAAAAAAAAACTGACCCTAGGAAACAATCGTGGTAGGGAGGAAGTTTGCCCTGAAACTTTGGGATGAAGTTTTGTGGAGGGAGATTTCAGCTGTCTTTACAGAAAGAGGGAGTAAAATCTGTAGTCAGTCATACTTTCAAGGTTAAATTATTTATGTTAGAGCGTTTTATATAAAAATAGAAGAAAAGAAAAAAACACTTTATGTTCACACAAAATCAAGCTCCTCTGCCTCCTTATGGTCCTAAAGCCAGCTGCAGAAATACACCACTCGGTCAGAAACAATCAATCAGAGCGAGCAGCAACGTCCTAGCGCTGTCAGTCTACTTTTGTTCATGCTGCTCTCTCCCTTGCTCTGATTGGTTGTTTCTGACTGGGAGCTGTGTATTTCTGTACATGACAGTAGAACCACAGAGAGAAGACAGAAGAGGTTAATGTTTTTTTCTCACAGATTACCTGTCTCATATTATCAGGATAGTGACAGTTTTAACAAATATGTAATAAAGATATTTTCATAAAAATTATCTATTGCAGCTTTAAATACTAAGGAAGCCAATCAAGAGCACAGCTTTTCAGGAATAACAATGATTTTAAAGGTTTTAACCTTTTGAATTAATCTTAGGATAGCTGTAAATGTCCTTGTTCCTTAAAGTTTTCAGTAAAATAAAGGCAGAGCAAGAGAGGAGACGAGGGCTGCATTATCAATCTGCTGGTTGGCTAGTGTTGGTTAATTCCTGCTAATGCTGTCCAGCGCCTCTACCGCTCCTATATAAAGTCCTCTCTTTCATTTTTGCTGTAGTTATTGTGCAGTGTTTTTTGTCTCAGTGAACCATTTGCTGACTGCATCATTCAAAGGCCACATCTTTTATCTTTGGTGTCCCGTTAGACATGGACACATTTTTTTAAATCCATACTCTTCAGTTTATTCTGTCTTTAACACAACCTTTAATGTATGGGCAATCCTTTGCCACATTCTATCCCATTTCCTCTGTTTTACTTGTCCTTTTTTGTTTGACCTAGTTTTTTTTTCTTCTTTGTTGCTGCTAGCATATCTTGAAAGAGGAAAATAAATGTGGCCACAGTTTAAAAACCTAATGCAAAGAGGAAAGTTATTTAAATTCCTTTTTTAGTCATGTCTCGTCAGCAGCTTCTCAAAGAAAAAGGAAATTTGAGTTCTCAATCTCTTCAACTCTCTCCTCAGATTTCCTCTAGATTACACAACTGTTGGATGTCTAATTTAGCATCGTCATCAAAACTCAATCAGCAAATCTGCCTTTCCTCCATTTGTTGGTGGGAAGCATTTGATAGGCTTTGAACCAAAACTGAGCTCTATGGGTTGGGAAGAAGAAAAGGAGAGATACATGTCTACACTTGGGCCTCTGCCCCCCAACCCCCCCCTTTTTTTTTTTTTTTTGCATACTTTGTCTCCACTCCATAAATAGCTGTGTGTGTAGCTCATAAACTTTGACCCTCAAACCCGGAGTTCAAACTGTCATAACCCGGTGACGCTCCGGGACTGACTCGCAGCTGAAACAGCCTTTTTTTCTAAGTGTTTTCTTTACCCTTTGAAGCTGTTGTAATTATGAAAGTCTTAAATAATTTCTTTTAGGGCACGTGAGGCATATTTGTTTTTACTCTGCATGCTGAATATAATCTCTAAAACCAATTATAGCTGTACCGATCAGAATTTAGTGGCTGGTTTCAAATTCGGTTTTCAGCAAAATACATTTTTTGAGCTGTTGTAAAAAATATGAAAAGATAGCATTATTTGATGATCATGATCGCCACTTGGAATGAAGAGGAATTGATAAGGCGAAGACCGAAGATGGTCTGGTTTTCATAAAAAGCTCAAGAGAAAAGTCTTGTTCGACCAGTCAGTCTCAAGTGATGAGCTGGGCATCTATTTTCAAAACTCTTCAAAATAATGTCTTACCCTTTGCACATACATTTAAAAAAAGCTAGATAGTATCTGTCCTTTTTATTGTTTAGGACAGGCTGTGTACATGTTGAAAACTACTAGCCAGTAGATGTAATTAGCTGAAAAAGACGGGACAAAGAAAAGCTGCTTGAAACATCTGTCCTAGGTTTGATTCTCGGGCCATTTACTACATGTCCTCCCCTTCTGAGCTACAATTGAATAAAAGCCAATAATGCCACAAAATCCTTTTAAAGGAAAACTCTTACCTTGCTACCAGTAACAGCCAGCTTTTCCTTTCTGTAGGCCACAGACACACTTCTTAACCAACCAGGTTGTGTGAGTCACTGGCGACAGAACACATTTCTCCAAATTATTGTGGGAAATGTCCGGCAGCCTAAGCACGGATAATTCAGACAATTTGGGCTGCATTTGATGTTTCACATCTAGTGTGGGTGTAGTTCATTTATATAAAACCTCCAGACCAGATTTACTGCACTTCATTCAGTTTTTACATTAGTTATATGCCATTCACGAATGAGCCAAGACACAACTCTCTGTAGCAAAGGAGGGAAGACGCCTCCCTGTGGGGAAGACAGATATTTAATTGAATTTATTGTAATTTAGAAGGCAGATTATGAGGCTAGCCACATGCAGAGACAGGGATTAGACCATTTGTTGAAAGAAGAAAGTAGGCCTGAGACAGCATGTGTAGTGGGACAGGCCTGGTACCCAGACCGACAGAGACAGGAGCATCGGACCAAATTCAGTAACCACCACATTGTCTGTCTCCGAAACATGCTTTTAAATATTGAGTGTACTAAAACTTTAAATGTTTTTATCTTCTAATCACGTGAAAAATTTGACTAAAATATCAGAGTTACATACTCTGATAACTTAAAAAAATAAAGTGACCCTACTGCAACTTAAAGAAAATGGTTTGAACCTCAAACAAAGCTACTGTGATCAGAAACGGAACCAGGAAGAGCTTTATTGGCCAAGATTATGTGCATAAACAAGGAATTTGACTTTGACTTCAAGCACTTAGGGAGTCCCAACATTAAGTGTAAATATCTAAACATTAGAGGAAGAAGAAATACAGGGTAATATGAACAGCATGTAGAAGTATTTGTCGGTATAGCCATTTATAGAGGGACAGCTTGGCCATTGGGAGGATTGGGAGGTTTCCCGTATGGCCGGTGGTCAGTATGTGTTTTATTGTGTGTGTGTGTGTGTGTGTGTGTGTGTGTGTGTGTGTGTGTGTGTGTGTGTGTGTGTGTGTGTGTGTGTGTGTTATGTCAGTGGTATTTTTTCATATACTAGATTCTATCTTTGAGCTTATGAACTACTGGTCACCAGTCAGGGCCAATCAAGCTAAAAAATAACCCGTTTGTTTCTGGACACTGACTAATTTCTTGGTACATCTCCATACAGAATGATTACTATTCAAATTGTGGAAGCTTTTCATAGTCTGCATTCAATTTTCTCTTCATGTCTTTTCAAGGCTCCATTGCTGTGGCTTGAAGGTTGGGGAGGCGCCATCGTCTGTGGCGCCCCAGCCTTCAGAGGTGTGTGGGTTACCAGGGGACAGAGACAGGAGGCACACTCTCAGTGACACCTTAGGTCCTGACACCATGCTGACTCAAAGGAGAGCCGCCACCACGAAGGAACCGCAAATTCCCACCATGGAAAACGGACTGAGCCACAGCAAGAGCTCAGCGGGAGCCAGGACTGCCAGCATCCGTGATAAAATATCCCAGTGGGAAGGCAAAAAGGAGTCCTCCCATGTGGCTGCTACAGGAACATGTCCTCTTAGCACAACGCAGAAGGAAGCTGACATTGTGAGGAAAAAGGAATCCAAAGCTTCAGACGTCCAACGGACAGACAGCAGGAGGTTTGCTAGCTGGGAGAGGCAAGACTCAGGGAAAGAAAATCTCGGAAAATTTGGGGATTCGAGCCCTAAACATCCAGACGGCACAGCAAATGCAGAGAAGTGTTTTGCTAATAAGCCTACTGAACTCCAAGACAAGAAAACAGTTTTGACTCATGTCAAAAAACTGGAGAAAGCCACAAAGGAAGTTCCCCATAAGCCTTCACTGGCATTTCCAGGGAATTACTTCTGCCCCCCATCAAAGGAGGAGTTGGAGGCAGCAGAGAAGAAGGCCAATGAGCCAATTTTTGGGACTTTTGACAAGGTTCGACCCGGTGGATTGCAGAGGAGACAGGATGGGGAGTCTGAGAACGAATACTGTGAGCCCGGTGCTCCTTCCATAAACCCCTTACCTAAACCTCAAAGAACTTTCCAGCATCACACACAATCTACAGGTTCGAGTCCTTCCTTTGGAAAGGCGAAGAGAACCCTGCCTCCGCTGCCCACTATCCCTCCCCCACCTCTACCCACATGCCCTCCTCCAGGGGTTTGCAGAAGACCCTGGGTTGACAGAGCCCGGGACAGCAACAACAGGTAAGCTTGTGCAAAGAACCAGAGACTATCTCCAGCTACAGACATCCAGTCTAGACCTTATTACGCCCACCTGAGACTGTTATGTCTTATGAACGCCCCTTCAAATAAAGTGTTATCAAAAAAACTTTCGGAAGTCTAAAAATCAAACTTTGTTTTCAGCCTTCTTCTAGACGGTGCTCTGGTTAGTGGAGCAAGAAATTAAACTCTAAGGCCTCCATGCAGAAGGCATTATGTAGCTAAAACCCATCATTGGCCCTGTCAAAATCCAGACCTAATCCTATTGAGTGTCTGTGTTCACGGATACTCTTCATCAAAACTGATAAAGCTTGAACTGTTTTGCCAAGAATAAAAAAGGCAAAAATATTCTGTCTATATGTTCAAAGATAGTGGTTGCACTGTTGCCTTGCAGCCTGGGTTGGAATCCCGACCTGGGGTCTTTCTGCATGGAGTTTGCATGCTCTCCCTTAGCATGCGTTTGTTCTCTCCAGATACTCTGGTTTCTTTCCACAGTCCAAAAACAATGGCTGTTAGGTTAAAATGAGCTCAGTTCTTGGATTTGAGGAATGCACTCTTTCCAGGACACCAAAAGTATATAATCTTTACAGGACTTTCAGAAGGGCAGAATTACTGCATGCCCGATTTTAGCCTTCATGGTGAAAATGATTGTGCAACTCATTTGGTTGCTGCAGACATCTTTCTTCCTAGAACTCCTTTCTGCGGAGGTTGACTTTTCTGAAGGTAAATTAAGGGAATCTGATCTAGAATCCCAAACAACGCCACAGTATTTGAATTCATGTGGTTGCAATCAAATAAAGAGAGCTGTGCAGAGAAACCAGAAAGCAATGTGGCTATAGCAGTATTGGATCACATCTATTGTTCAGTTCCTCCAGTGGCTTGCATTTTTGTTTGGCCTTGGATCTGTTACTTTCCATACCATATGTGGAGGACTTGCTCCGCTCAAATCCGCTGTGTCAAACCTTTTGTTTGGTCAGACTGTCTCCCTCATGAGTGTTCACCGATACAAAGATGTATGCCTTTGAGAAAATTAAAATGCACGTTTCTGGTTCAAGAGGTTTAAAAACCTAATGTGATGGCAAAAGCACTTAGTGAACTAGGAGGTAAACAGAGAGTTAAACAAAGGTTGAAATTGAAATACGTGTTCAGTCACAGAGAAATGAACCATATGTTGCAAAAGTATTCGTTTCACATTTTGTCATTTTCAAACCATAGTTATCACCTTCCACTTCAATTGCAGCTGCACATATTTGTTGCTACTGTATGTCCCTACCAGTTTTCCACATCTGGTGACAGACATTTCTTTTTTTTTTCTTTTTGGCCAACTCTTCTTTGCAAAGTAGCTCAAACTCAGTTTGACTAGACAGAAAACATACATTTTCCAGATTTACAGAAAATCCTCCATTAGATTGTGACTTGTCCATTTGAATTCATAAATATGCTTTGATCAGCTGTGCCTCTCTGGCTGTATGCTAAAGGTTGTTGTCCTGCTTCTAGTCCCTATCGAAGACCAGCATCACTGCAACATGATGCTGCCACAACCGTTTTTAAAGGTGGGAATGGTCTGTTTAGTGTTAGTTTCCTGCCACACTTTTTTTTTCTTTTGCTGTCCAAAAAACTGCAAAGGGGAACAATTACACCACACTTTTCAGATTTTTAACTGTAAAACAAAATTTGAAAACCATGTGTCATGTTCTCTGTGTAATTCAAGCCCATAAATATGGTTTCTGGTTGATACATATTATGTTGGACTTTAAACTTTGACATGTTTTGATGTTCATTATGATTAGATTTGAGTTTTCCCAAGTATTAGAGATGCTCAGTCTGATTTTTCTAGCCATTTTCAGATTCCTTAGTAAAATCTTTAAGACATTGGGGATAAAAACAGGATTCAAATTATTGCTTTGTGCAGATCCTGCTGCGGCCGGCTGGTTGAACAAGACATACATCATCACTGCACCACTCATTCGACCCACGAGAATATAGGAACCTACTCTAACTCTGAGATTTCTAAAATAGATTTGTAAATTCAGTATGTTCTATAACAATGAGAGGCTGAAAACTGAAAAAAAAAGAAACATCAAAACAACTTTCCTACTATATGCTTAGCCTTTTTGCTATATGTCGAAAGCTCAAAGTCTTTTCAAATGAAGCAGCATGAGTAAATGGTCAACATTTTGGAGTAGACTATACATCTTCTTTCCAAACGGCTTATTCCGCTTTTTTGTGGCTCACCTAACTTAATTTTCAAACACCCGACCGACGCCGAAAGTAGCCAACTTTGAGCCTTAACTCTCTGTGTAACTACTTCCACCTCAAAGAGTGTCATTAGCGCAATCCATTAGCATTTACACTAGATGGACAGAAATCTACCAAATGGCAGTATTTTCAAAAAGCCTGAACTTGGCACACTGGGGTGTTTGGAGACTTGTCCATTTAAAATAAATGAGAGTCTTTGTGCTTCTTTATCCAACAGGAAGTCCTATGAGTTTGAGGATCTTCTGCAGTCGTCTACGGAAAGCAGTCGGGTGGACTGGTACGCTCAGTCCAAACTGGGCCTCACATGCACTTTATCAGAAGAGAACGTCTATGAAGACATAATGGGTAAATAATTGATATAACACCTATTTCCCCCCCCTCTTAACTAAGTGAAATCTGGCAAAGTGTTAAATATGAAACATCTGCTGTTTAGCATCTGACTTCAAAGTATTACCATATGAACAAGGCAGCTTATGAATCAATTTAGATTTTAAACAACATTGTGGGCTTTAGTTTATCCATTATTTTTCTGTATTTAGATGCACTGCAATATTTTATCCACAGTAATCTTAATCAGGGTCAAATCTGTGCAGTATTGTGCATGAATCTACTTCAGGTCAGACGCAGACATGATGAGAAAGATTAAGTGTCTTTAGCTCTGTTTATTTTGCTGCTCCGATTTTAATTTACAGGCACGTTGTTTCTTCTTTATTAGAAACTGCATGTTCCCTCCTTATTGTCTCTAGTGTTGTGGCAACCCCACCAAGAGCCTGTTTAACTACTTAGCGTACAGTAGTAGCAGTGTTATATGATGTTGCCTGCTTTGATTGGACGGTGTGGATCCCTGGATTAAACACGATTTGTTCACTTTGGGTTTCATTTGAGTAAATAATGTCCAACAGGAGCCGAGTTTGCTGGCGACGATTAATCAACGTTAGTTAAACTTATGATGCAAGCTATTTTGAATCGTCTGCAGCATTGTTTGTTCAAAACGTGCAGACAATGTCAAGTAGAGGCTTACCAGGGTCCCTCGGGTAATTCAACTCAGCTGTCTATTCAAAAGCAGCCCAAGAAGGCAGAGATATGGAAAGTTGAGACAATGGTAAGTCATTTGGGTTTTCTCCACCCTCAGAACCTCCTGTAGACGCACTTTAAACTTTGACATGTTGGTTTCTTCAAACCAAGAGATTTCTGCCAGCAGAAAGCATCCAGGCAAAGGGCTTTAAATTGTTCTCTCATCTGAACTGTTTAAACTGATCAGTGTCTTGCATATACATATATGCATATTTCCTGTAGTTTGTTTGGATACACGTTATCCATTGCCATGACGATGGCTACTTTTCCTTGGGTCCACATCATAAAAAAGCATTTATTACAAAACATTAGCAACATAGCGTATTGATTTGTAAATGTATAGTTATTACACTTTGATATAACACAATTAAACAAGGTTCTTTTAAAAGCTCTAGCATGTGTTGCATTTAAAACAGATAAAGGAAGGGAGCTCCATGTTCTCTTTCCTCTAATAATAACTTTTCTCTTTTTCAAGTGGAGGGAAATTGCTTTGTGGTTTTTACGTTCTTGTCGAGGAAAATCTGAAACGTGTGAAGGAGAATTGTAGTCAGCCCTAAATGAAACCAAAGAAATTAATTTTTTTCCCTTTTAAACTACATTTATTTACCCAAACAGTACATAATTGTGGTCTGAGTGAAACAAAAAGAACAAGTCAACAGCAAGAGGTCAACGTTGCCTGTTGTTCTCCATCGCAAACAAAACGGACTGATGTGGTTGAACAGAACATTGATTTTACAAGTTGGCAGTTCAGGTCATTATCAGGAAATCAAGACTGCACCTGCATCCCTAACATGACATGGCTGTCCACCTGAACTCTGGAGGAGCTGCAGACATCCACTGCTCAGGTGGTTGACCTGAAAAAAACTTGAGACTGTGGCACAAGAACACATCCAGAGCTACATAGGGGCTGCGTTTCAGAAGAATGGCCTAGTCAAAACCAGATTGAACAGTACTGACTAAGTGGGGCTGAATACAAAGGCTCTCCACTCTTTTCTGGTTTTATCAGTTTCATCTTTCCTTCCGTTTTACAGCTAATCACTTATTTGCGTCGACCTGTATTAACCTCATTACAGCATATTACATATGATACATTTAAGTTTGTCATTGCGGGTCATGAGCAAAATGAAGGGATAGTTCCAGGGGTAAGAATGCTTTTACAACACACTGTAATGGATCTCAGAGATTTATGTGTTGGTCATATCAGCCAGCAGTATGGAAAACGCTGCACCGTACTGTTTTTTTCTTTTGAGAGATTAGGGCTGGACTGAGTGGCTGTCTTTGTTTGCCTACATTCACATCTGGTGGATAAATTGATAGAGCAGAGCAAAGAGTCACCGATTTACAAACCTCTGTTGCTCCATATCTGCAGGGGAGCCTCAGTAATGCATTATTATCTTGCAGCTACATTTAGCATTTGCTCTTCAAACGTCTTTTCACGGAAACATATGAGTCAGTGCATCGTCTCTTTGGAGACAGCTGGAGCACAAATCACCTGGCTGTACAAATACAGAGTGCTCATCTGGTCTGAACATGTTGTGGAACCTAGATATAATTTGAATAAAATAAATCTGTGTTCTGAAGATCCACCATGCAAGGAGAACCCTTACGAAGACATCGAGTTGGAGCGAAGCTGTGTGGGAAGCAAATGTGTTTCACCTGTGTCATCTTCTCCTGTCCCCGACACTCCAGCCAAGGTATCTGATCGCATTGAGTGCATTTCTATGTATACCTGAATTACTCAAGCGGTTGAATACCTTTATGTCCGTCTTTCCCCAGCAGCTTCCGTCCAAGCCTGGCTTCTACAGGCAAAACTCAGAGAGACGAAGCTTCAAAGTCCCAGAGCTGCGCAAGACCAGCAGAGACACTGGCCTCTCTTCTCCCTCTCGTATCAGCCCCCCCTCCACACCCAGCAGCCCTGACGACACCCCGTGTCTCTCTGGAGACCCTTACAATCGTAGACGAAGGAAAATCCCAAAGGTATGGAAGCCTGGCAGGCCCCTCTCAAAGCTTATGGCCCATGATTTATGGCCAAGCAATGGTTTTGAGCCGGTCTACTCATGCCTCTGTCGGGGGATGAGTAACGCAGAGCATGCCGGAGGGTTGTATTTTTTTCTTTGGGATGGGCGCCGCACACCGTGGAAGGCTTCAGTAATGCATTATTAACATGATTTGGCATGGAAACTGAGTTATCTTCCACAAAGTTAAAGGTGAACTTTTCTTTGTCTATTACAGATGGTGCTGAAGATCAATGCCATCTTTGAGGCACGGAGAGGCAAGAAACACACAAAGAAGGTGTCTCAGTCTGCAGAGTCCAGCTCAGGAAGAGGTGAGCCTCAGAATGAAAACCGTACGCACCTCTTCAAAGTCTAAAAATACCCCCTTCTTCAATAATTCAAACGAGGCAGTTTTTTCATTGGTCTTTGTTGCATATTTTATATTCATTTGCTTTATTAGGAGTTCGTCAAAACTCAAGGAACTGCTTTTAGTTTTCTGCCAAAGAAAACATTTTCCAAGGACTTTATGTAAAAAAAAAAAAAAAAAAAAAGTAAGCACAAAATGTGGCATACACCCTTTTCCACACAAAGCAACCCCACGCTGACTTCATAGCTCCTGTACAAACATTTCTCCAGTCAATAGCTTATTGGGTACTGAAAAACTGGTAACGATTTGAAAACAATTGCTATAAACACCAGTGACACATGACAGGCAATTGTCGCGTCTCACATTTGCAGTTAGAGTGGATATTACACAGAAACTACGTTTAGCAGCAACGACTTTTTGGATGGCACTGCAAAAGATGAGGACTGCCTGATCGGCAGATTTATATTTCCAAGGGCAGACCTGTTGGCGGACCTGTACTGTGGTCTGAGTGGTGGATGATCTCGGACCGTACCCATGTAGCTGTTGACCACATTTGGGTGTTGGATACAGTTATCTGTATTTTAGTCAACTTTATCAAATACAATGTAGCTGCAAAGAGGACATGAAAGTGCAGCTTCTGATAAGTTGTTTCTTTCCCAGGTGTAGTTGTAGCTTTTTGCTACACACACTGTACAACAACAGCACCAGGACCAAATAGACTTACTTCAGTAGAAAGCGATTTTATTCAAAGTAGAGATTTAATTCACGCACCAATTCAACTAACCGACATTGTAGTCAGGTTTTATGGTTCAATGTATCATTAGATCATTTCACCAAACAGGATGGCTGTGAGTAGAAAAGCCATCAGGGTGCAGGAATAGCTGGCTTCCTAGGGAACAAGTCCAAATCCTTATCGAGAAGTGCAGATGCTTCATTACCAGTCGGTGCTTAAAGTGAGTTTGCCGATTAAACTCCAGTTTCAGTGTTCCACCAAACTCTTGAGTGACTCTGAGATTATAGAAACTATACAAATAAATAAATGATCAAACACTTTCAACCTTGGTGCACTTATGCATTAATTGAAAAAAAAAATAGTGGTGTATATCAATCAGTGAAAGGTTGGGAATGCAAAATATAAATACTTCTTGAGTGTGTTTTTACTCTCCGCAACCTCATTGAAGTGCATTTTCAATTCTTATTCTGTGAAGTTTCTATTCTTCCCCCATTTCACTTTGATTGGAATGTAGAAAGATATAATATTATCTTGTATCCTTGCATACGAAAATTTACATTTATGCTGTGCTTCAGTGAAAAAAAAAAATCCAAACAATTTTTTATACATGAAGCATTTAAAGTTAGAATATACCTCCCTCTAAAATGTTGCTTTTCTTAGTCATTCTACCTCTTTTTATGTATTTCTGGTTGCCTAAAGGCAACATTTTAAATATAAAAATCCTAAAAACCCACTGTGAACCAACAGTATTCCCAAACAACATCAGAAAAATACTGCCATGCAAGATAAAGTCATACTAATACGTAAACTGACACGTGGACTTAGAAAACTGACGTAAACCCAACCTGATCATCCAGAATAACAAAAATAATTACAGCAATATGCACAACTCCTGAATCGATTAAAAGAGAGTGCAGATAATTCATTTTGTCTCCATTAGTGAGACTTTCATCTAAAAATGTTTTGCCAAAGTTTGTCACCCAAAACATCTCGATCTCTCCGTCTCTTTCTCTGTGACAAACTATTTTTTTTAGGCTAACCTACTTAGAAGACGACTGTTTTTGTGGTAGCAGCCAGGGCTGGAGAACTCATTTAACCGAACCTTATGAAATGCTTTGATTTCTATTTTCAGTCTTTTTACTCCTCTTCTTGTCTCTTCTTTTAATTCTGCGACAGATGAGAACAGCGAGTCAGAAAGCGACAGCGAAGAGAAACTAAAAGGTGAGAATCTCCCTGAACGCTTCGTGTATAAAACAAGTCTGTATGTACACAATTGAGATTTAAATGGAATCGATTTATTTCAAATTTGTTTGCCATCCCTTTAGCACCAAAACACTGGACTAGAGTGTGCTTTTGATTTGCTCAAATGTGTGTATGTTTGACCTAGAAGGACGTTTTTAAGTGAATTAAACGGTTTTGACCCCCTTCAGCTCACAGCCAGCGCCTGGTGTCACTGCAGTCCATGCTGAGGCAGACGGGCCGGTACCGGACCTTGGAGAGGGATTTAATGGAGTTACAGGAGAGAAAACTCTTTGAATATTTCATCGTTGTTGCACTCCACAAGACCAAAGCTGGAGTCCCGTACCTGCCAGAAGTCACGCAGCAGTTTCCTCTAAAGGTAAAGGAGTATGGGAGTAGATAAAGATGACTTTATCTACTTGTTTTGTTATTGTTTTCTTAGTAGACATCAGGTTGGGGAAAAAATCCTACTAAACATCAAATTCTGGGGATGAAAAAGTGATTCAAACATTTTTCTGTAAACAATTCTGATTGCTTGAACAATTCTGTCTTATCTGGAATGAAAGGGGGGAAAAAACAAGGAACTAATTTTAATTTTCACCATCAGGGACAATATTAGTCCCAGTGGCACCTCAGAAAATTTTCTTAGGGGTTGCCAGACCAGGCCTGTGAAAAATTTTAAAAGGATGGAGCCAAAAAAAAGTGGGACCAATAACTGTGCTACTAGTGATTTTGTTGCAGTAACATGGGTTTTCCCCCTCCACTGAATTATAATTCAAGGCTTTTTACTCGCACAAACACAGCAAACACAGTTTGTAATGGATTTGGCAAATTGTTTCTCTTCCATTCAGCTCGAGAGGAGCTTTAAATTCATGCGGGAGACGGAGGACCAGCTGAAGGTCATCCCTCAGTTCTGCTTCCCCGACGCCAAAGACTGGGCCCCGGTCGACAACTTCCCCAGGTCGGTCCAAGTCCAGGCGCTGCCTCACCGCAACAGTGTTATCAGAACACAAACACAATACAGTGGAGTTTCCTAGTGTAGTGGTAATAGCTCAGCTGTTTGTGAGGGCTAATGACTACCTGGCTGTGAGGGGCCTAAAGAGCTGACCGAGCAGCTTGTCAAAGTGACCCATCTGTCTTTAACTACAGGGTACAGGAAAATATGAACACCTGGAGTGTTACATCTGAATCACCTCTCCCTGTTCGCTGTGAAACGCTCTGTGTAACGCGGTACGTCCGCTACGAGAAGCTATGACGTGTTTTTTTTGTTTGTTTTTTTTTTAACGAGATTCACCTGTTCCAAAACGTCTGACAGGCGACCAAACATACGCAATTTGCTCCAAACTGGCGGAGACTTTGTCATGTCAGGAAGGTCGATGAGTTTGAGCTCTGGAGTTTTTGTGTTTGCACTGTGGAAATTTCTCCTGAGGGCTTTTCAAACTATCATAATTGTATCTTTTTTTTTTTTTTTTTTTTTTTTTAAAAACCACAGGAAAACGTTCTTTTTTTAACCAACGGGAAAAAATTGAAACA